TCATTCAAAAGAGACCAACCCGGCACTCTTTATACTCGTTAATTTCCTATCATTAAGATTGTGCGCGACCTCAACATACCACTTCTGCTGCTTTGACCCTCATAAAAGACTTCTTTGACAGATGTCCTTATGACGAGATATAGCATAAATCTGCAGGAACATATTTTGCAATGCTAAGCCTTCCATCCATCAGTCTGACCAGAAACCAATTCTAGTCCAATTTCCAATTTTCCATTTCACGCACTTTTGAAAGCTGTCTTTATCCGTATGCAATCTTTTCCATAGTCCTCTACCATGCAGTGAGGCACTTGAGATCAATGATGAAGTGGTGAAAGGTAATGTGGGTCTAAGGGAGAGGGTAAAGGTCGTCTATAAGGAATTATACTGAAAGCACACCTGGGAGACGATCCTGGATGGGATTGATTTCTGTAGGTTGTTTGAACATGATAACTTACTCCTAGATCAACCTTTCACTGAGGAGGAGATTAATGCAGAGCTTATGAGTTGCAAGGGGGATAAAGGCCCATGACTTGATGATTTTAATGGGTAAAAAATTGTATAACATTTATAATACTGCTCGACATGGATAAAAAATAAGGGGGAGTGAACATGAGAAAGAATGTAGGAGGAGAAGAGACAAGAGAGTCCTTATAAAATAGTGATTTTAGAATTTCAAACTTGCCGATACTTATTTAATTGAAAAATAAGGAAAATGATTAACATTTGATTTAATGAAAGAAGGGGAACAAAACCCTTTTTTGTTTTCTATACAAACGTTTCTTTGGTAAAACTCAGTTTTCTGCAACACTATTTTTTCTTCAATTTTTAGTGGTTGCAAATTTTTCTCGAAAGCTCTACATATCTTTCCATAACTGAATGCAACATAAAAATTTTCTGCTGATTACAAAAATCTTTTCCATCTTTAAAAGTCTTACATTGTTAATTTATTTTTGATCTCTAGCTTTTCCCGGTCTTTGTATCGTATTGACCACATGCATTTGTATTGTTTTGCACGGATGTACTATGACATTTGTTTTTGAATTCTTCTCAATGTGTTAACTTGCAGAATTCTATGGAGCAAGATGTTCCTGTTAGAGTAACTCGTGGTCATGAATCTTCTAGCAGTTATAGTGGCAAGGTTTACACTTATGACGGCTTATACAAGGTGATTTCTTGAGCACTTTTTGTTTTATTTATTTATTTTTTGGAAGAGCAATGGAATGTTTACAATGTTGCAAGGGAATGACTGGTGTGTTTGAGATTTCGATGGGTAATGTGAAACAGTATTTTGGAAATAAAATAGAATATGATAGAGTAAAGTAGCGGTTTTAATCAATCCATAGAGCTAATTATAGCAATATAAAAGTAGGTTTTGGGATCCCTTTTTTTGGTTGAAGAGAGTGGAGTCAATTAGGGGTTTCTCAGTTACTATGTTTTCCTAGACCTAAAATGAAGAGGGTGACCATCATGTGTCCCAAATCCCTGAATCTGGTTATAGGTCTTTGTAGATTTAAAGTGGGCAAAGAACATGTTTCTCTGATTTTCTCTTTAAAATGCCCTTATTTTTTGAAATCAAAGAGAAGTATTATTATGCACAAGGTATCAAGAAAGTACCCCCCAAATACAAAGTAGTTACATATTAATTAAGTGGTCAATGACAGCACCACAGTCCCATATGTCATTGATGTCATGACCCATCAAAATAAATCCAAAAGCATAAATCCATCTATCTTTAATTGTTGTAAAGTTAGTCTCTATACCCTCAAAAGCTCTACAATTCCTTTCTTCCAACACACAAAGAATGTAATTGG